TTTCAGTTTTCGGTGGACACAACATCTTTGTATGTGGTGCAGAGGATCGAACCCGGGCCGCACGCATGCTAGATGAGCGCGCTACCGCTTGAGCCATATCCCCAGCCCTTCACTAAATTGTTGAGGGGCCTCAAGCTTGTAACCCTTCTGCCTTAGCCTCCTAAGTTGCTAGTTTTTATTGTCCTGTCTTCTAGTTCACTGATTCTTTCTTTTGTCCCCTCTTGTTTTCTTTTTTCGTCACTGAGCCTGTCCATGGAGCTTTTTATTTGGTTATTGTATATTTTTTGTTGTTGTTGTTCAAAAAATTGTTACCCTAACTCTTCAGTCTTTTAGGATAAGGTAATTTTTCCCTCTCTTGTAGCTTTACATCTATTTATTTATCTTTGATTTTTTAGTAGTTACAATAATATATTTTAAGGTATAGTTTAGTTTTGTTTTATGGCTCCTTGAAAGTATAAATTAGTATCCTTTATTATTGTTTCCCAAAAATTCTTGGTAATCCCTTCAGATGTTGTACGCATTCTATTTCTCACTTTTTCTGAGTAAAAAAAAAAATTAAAAAATGAGTAAAACTACTGTTAATTTTCTGACTTTATCAGCTGTGCCAATCTTCATTTTTTTTTTTAAATAGCTTGTCTTTGTCTTATTTTGGCTAAAGTCTGTTGATTTATCTCATGATTCACTAATTCTCTTATTTGTTTTTAACCCATTATGAAACTCTCCTTAATTTTTAGTTACTGAGATGTTTAGTTACTGAAATGTCGTTATTCTTTTCAATGCTACTATTCTACTTTATATAGTTTTATGTTTTTCAGGATTTTCAAAATATCTTTAAATATAATAAGTATCACTGTTTTATAGTTTCATTTTGATAATTCTTTATCTTAAATGTCTGGGTCCTCATCCTGTATTTTGTTTCTGATAGTTTTTAGTTTGGACTGTTTTCTTGTAAGCCTTGTTCTCTTTGATTTTATGCGCATTGTTTTTTAACCTGAAGAACTATTTGTAAGAATACTTTAAGGTATGTCCAATATGTAGATAACTTCTCCTGGGAGGATTTGCCTTTACTTATGCCATCTACATGGTATCTGTGTTCATTTGGGACCACCTTAAGTTAGTTTCAAAACTTGGGTTCCCTGAACAACTCATTTGATAGCAATCTGGCCTACAAATCTGCCTCTAATTTGCTTTTGCCTCTTACATTGAGTTTCTCAGATTATTGTACAGAAATTTTTTTACTCTATTTTTTGCCTTTTAATATTTCTTTTCTTTATCTTATCATAATTTCAAGTCAGATTTCAACTTTGCCAGGATCGCATATGTCCTCAGTATAAAAAGCAGGCTTTTTTTTTTTTTTTTTTTTTTTTTTGTGGTGCTAGGGATTGAATCCAGTGCTAGGAAAGCATTGTATCACTCAGCTACATCCCCATCCCTTTCTGTTTGCTTTTGACCTGGTACAATCTTGTTACTTTGTCAGGAGTGTTATGCCTTTAATATTCTTTGTACTTAATCCTGAATTTTTACTCCTTCTTAGTGGTGTAAACAGCCAACAGTGCAGTTTTTAATTTCAGTTTAACATATCATTTGTAGACATTTTATTTAGTTTATTGATAACTTCCTTTTCATTTTTAAAGAAGGTAAAAATACTTATTTTTTATTCCATAGCTAGTAATTTTGACATCTGAACTCTTTGTAACTCCAAGATGGCTTTTATACTATACCAGATTCTGCTCTTGTTGCCTTGCTTCCCTTGTGTTTTTGGATCATGAGGTGGTATAACTTCATCTGTGGATCCAGAAGATGTAATTTTATCTTCTGGACTAGAACTTAAGAATGTTTTTATAGAGAAAACTTGCATTTGAATCTTTTGGCATCCTAGGGGAACTGAGGAGCACTTCAAATTTAAGTTTTGGCTTGGAAAATCATTTTTAATTCCCATGTGTGCCTAAAGGCTGGTTTTGTGATTATGATGTAGTCTGGTAGATCATAATGTCTATCATTAGTATTTATTTCATATAGTCTGGTGATAGTCTTATAGTCATAATGAACACCACAGTTGTTAGTCATTATTGTCCTCTCTCCTGATGTACTTTTCTTATGTTTTTTATACTCAGAATAAGACCAGTGACCTTTTCATTCTATGCATTTTCCCCCCAGAATGGAACTTTAAAAAAAATAAAACCTGAGGCAACATTCTATTATTTAACATCCTTAATTGTTTTGCATGGTCTTCGTGGCTTATAAAGCAAAAGATTCTAAGCAAGTCATATAAATCCTATTCTAATTTTATTATCTTTCTAATCATAACTGTGATGACTCCTCCCTTATCCTTTATCACTTTTAAAATTAACATGTAATAATTGCATATATTTGTGGAGTCCAGTGTGATAATTCAATACATGTATACAATTTAGACCCCCTTATACTTTAAGACATATAACTGAAATACATTTCATTTAGACTCCAGAATGTATTATCCAGTCTCTTCTATTTTTGCCTTTGTACACTTTACCTGTTTGTAATTTCTTTTTTCTCCTAACTCCTGTTATTATTTTTTTTTTTTTGGCGGGGGTCAGTGGGTGGGAGGGTAACTGGGGAATGAACTCAGGGGCACTTGACCACTGAGCCACATCTCCAGCCCTATTTTGTATTTTATTTAGAGTCAAGGTCTCACAGAGTTGTTTAGTGCCTCACTTTTTGCTGAGACTATCTTTGAACTCAAAGTATCCTCTTGCCTCAGCCTCCTGAGCCACTGGGATTACCGGTGTGTTATCACCACACCAAGCTAACTCCTATTATTATTACCAATTCTTAATTTCTTTAAAATATTTCAACTCAACTCTCATTTTCTAGAAGCCTTCCCTGAACTTTTCCTCTTTATCCCTGCCTCCCTTAACCTCTACCCCTGTTGATCTATTTTGCTTAAGTGTTCTCTGCATATACCCATCAACACTTGCAATTGTTTGTCTACCTGGCTAATTGTATTATAAATACTATGAATATTAAAGTCAATTTTCTTGTATATATCACCATTTTCATCATCATAATAGTTGTTAGCCTTTATTGATTATATACTATATACTGTAATTAAGGATTTTAAATTGTATTATCTTGAAGCATTCAAGATATGAATAATATTTATGATTCTAATGTTCCAGGGAAAATTAGAGTCAAACTGATTCAGTCATGATCAAGGCCAGGTAGCTAGAATAAGAAGATGTAATATAACTTGAATTCAAAGAAGATGATGAACTTCTTTCCTCTCCTAGAGTGTATATGAGGTATAAAAATGATGCACCTGTTGGATATGTGGCATATGCTTGAAATCCCAGCTCCTTGGAAGGCTGAGGCAGAAGAGTTATAAAATTCTAGGTCAGCCTATGAGCAATTCAGTGAGATCTTGTCTCAAAATTTTAAAGTGGAAGGGCTGGGGATATAGCTCAGTTGGTAGAGTACTTGCCTCACATGCACAAGTCTCTCGGTTCAATCCACAGCGCGCACACACATACAAAATTAAGGTGAAAAAAAGAATGGGAGATGCTTGCCTAGCATGCACAAGGCTCTGGTTCAATATCTAGTACCAAAAAATAAAAAAAAAAATGCATACGTATAAAACACATATATACTAGTACCTGAGACTTAGAATTTAATAAACATTAGCCATTAAGTGGGGCCAAAAGCTTTTTTCATAACTTAATATTCAAATGAAGGAATGTAATAGTTGATATTTATAATAGAAAACTAAAAATGACAACTGAGTGAGGCCCTAGATAACTTAGTGAGACTCTGTCTCAAAAAATAAAAGGTTTGGGGATATGGCTCAGTGGTTAAGTGCCCCTGGTTTCAGTTCCTGATAACGAACAAACAAAAAGCTAAAAATGAATATAGACAATCATGAAAATAAAATAATAATTTCACCATTAGGTTATGAGTTGCTTTTAATATTTTAGTATGTATCTTTTCCTTTTATATGCATTGTTTACATAATACTATTTTTAAAAACTCTTTAATTGTAGATAAACATACAGTATCTTTATTTATTTTTATGTGGTACTGAAGATTGAACCCAGTGCCTCAACATATGCAAGGCAAGAGCTTTACCACAGCGCTACAGCCCCAGCTGTAAAATATTTAAAATACTATTTTGAACTGCCCTTTAATTCAGTTATTTTATTAATTTCTTTCCAAAATAAAAAACAATTAGTTATAGATGGACACATACCTTTATTTATTTTTATGTGGTGCTGAGGATGCCTCACATGTGCTAGAAAGTGCTCTACCTAGCCCTGTATCTAGATTCTTGATCAATAAATACTGTATTATCTTTTACTAGTTACATGGTATATTATCCCATTTATATACCATCATTATTTAATATATTTATTTTTTGATATTTAGGTTTTTTTCCAGTTTCTAAATTTAGCACTGACAATCTTTAAATATTCATCTTTGATGAATTCCCACAGGGAATTGACCAAGCATTTTGTGATGAAAATCAACAGCAATAAAAAACAAAGGCCCAAACCATCTTTTTGATGACTTAATGTACGGGTTTTTCCCATAGTTAGTTAAGATATTTGAGCTGAGGTGCTGAACCTCACTGAGTCTTGTATACTCTAAAATAGTGATAAAACTTCTCTTCTATTTCTAAAGCATATTCTTAATAATGAATGAAACAGTGCATGATATATGTAAGCTGTCTGATACAAATACAAATAAGGGAGGGAAGTCTCTTAATCCACCTACCAGAGTTGCTTCCTCTTATATGTCTGTTTGATGCTATTGTAAATTATAAATATTTAATAGGTTTAAAAATAATTAGTCTTTGAGTTCTTTGATCAAAAAAGTTTGATTAAAATTAGTGTGTCTATAGTCACACAATTCTCCCATTTTGGACTGTGTTGTCTAATGGAGGAAAAAGTAATTGTTACAAGTAACAATTAGTTTTCTTGGTATGTATTTTCTACTAAGTACTACCTTTTTATAACCTTCTTTTTTAGAATTACAGAATGAAAGCTTAAAAGAATCAAATGAGAAGAAGGACCTTTTGACATCAGAACTAGAAGATGTTAAAATGTCTTTGCAAATAAGTGTGGTATGATTTAAAAACTGACTAGGTGTAGTAAATCTCACATTATCAATAATGAACAAATATTTATTGAATATAATACTATGTATAAGAACCCTGAGCTTCAAATAGAGAAGAAAATACCAGTCTACAAAATGCTTATAATTTAGTCAGAGACAATGGATAAAAACACATCAAAAATATAAGTGAAATACAGGATCAAGCTGGGTATACCAACAGTGATTTAGGGTAATAAATTACTATAATAGTTCTAAGAATTGAAATAACTCTGTGGGTTGGATTGGTTAGGAAGATTCCATGGAGAAATTGGAGCTATAGGTGGGATTTGAAAAATGGTGATTTTAAATAATAAGTGGGTGGGTATTCTACGGGGAGTGGAAGGGTTGATGAATAGGAAGAAGTTAAGAGCGAAAAAGGCAGCAAACTTATAGAATCTGATAACGTCAGGTTTTTTTTTTTTTTTCTTAAGGCCTTTGAATTATTGCTTTGGTTTTGTACTTATTTTAGAGTACTCAGAAAGCTTCAGAGGAAAATTTACAGATGGCAACAAAAAAAATATGTCAGCTCACTGAAGAAAAAGAAGCTCAAATGGAAGAACTTAATAAAGCCAAAGCTGCCCATTTAGTTGTGATTACTGATCTTAAAACAACTATCTCTAACTTGGAGGAATTATTGAGAACAGAACAGCAAAGGTGAACTATTTCTTATTTTAAATGAATAAAAACAATTTGCTTCTAATATTCAGTACCATTTCTGTTCATTGTCATCTGCTGTGTAATTCCTGTAACAACTACAGCCAACTCTTTTTTTTAATGTATAAAGTAAGAATAATTTTTTTTTGGTATTTGGTAGGCAGATATCCCATCCCAGGATAAGATTTAAAAGCAGGTATTCTTTAGGATAGTTCCCATGCATTTTTTACCATAGAGTCAAGCTTTATCCACAAACTTTTAAGTGCTGATATAGAAATAGAACATATTTATTTTTATTGGCACATTTTAATTGCACAGAATGGTGTGTTACACTGGTTACAACATATCTATTGAAACTATGGATTATTATTAGCTTCATAGGAATAATTTCTGGGCTGGGAAGTTTGTTTCACTGGGGTCTATAACCTTATATCTGCTTTATAAACTTTGTAACTATTCTGGATAGAGTAGATAGTACTCTATATTTATTAAATTAATGGATATGATTATCTGTGTGTAAAATATTCATTTGCATTTCATCTAAATAGCAGTTTGTATAAAACTTGAGTGTTTAAGCCTAACTCTGTTTTTCTTGATATTAAGAAAGTATTCAAATAAAGCTGTGTTATGAAACCTGGTAAATATTTCTGTCTCATTAGCTTTGGGTTAATAAAATTTGGGAGGGTAGAGGAGAGGAACAGATCTATCTCCCAAGTCATAGCCTGGGCCTACCAGTATTTCTTTTGTATGTGTCTTTTTCTTTTATTTGTATTGTTTACATAAATACTGTTTAAATTTGCCATTTTATTCTGTTATTTTATTAATATCCAAATTCTTGATTAATAAAATAAGGACTGTATATCATTTTCAGTAGCTACATGGTGTACTATCCCATTTATGTACCATTGTAATTTAATCTTACTGATTATGCATAGTAAAGGAAGAAAATTAGCTCTTCTAGTTTTCCATATTCTTACATATTCTTTATTGACCTATCCAGGAAATTTTCAAATTTTAAAATTGTGAGTTACCTTAGATTCATTTGTTCCAATTATCTTAATTTTGTAGTTTGCAAAAACCAGAAAGTCAGCAAAAGCAAGAAAATTATACATGTTTTGCAATTTGGATTGTTCCTTAGGCAGAATTTAGTATCATAATAATTATGTTCAGTCTCAAAGTTCTAAAATAGATTAATTTGATTATCAATAGTTAAGAGACAAATTATAATCATAACCTTAAGGTTTCGTGTAGATGTAATAAATGTACAATAATGTTTATAATAGTCATATTTTTATAATAGTGATATTTTAAAACGCTATATAGATATTCAATAAATGTTTACTAATTGAGTGGTTGAATCTATTCTAAGAAACTATACTAGTTTTAGATATTAGATGTATTCTGATAAAAATATTTTACATTGCAAAATAATATGTCTTACAAGATTGGGAAAAAATGAAGATCACCTGAAAGAACTTACCATGGAGCTTCAGAAGAAATCAAATGAACTGGGTAAGATTTAGAGAATATAACATTTATTTTGATAATATTGGCTAATTATGAAAACATAATTGAATATAGAAAGTTAAAATTTTTTTAAACATTTTTAGTTGTAGACAGACATTAAATCTTTATTTATTTATTTTTATATGGTGCTGAGGATTGAACCCAGTGCCAGTGCCTCACGTTTGCTAGGTGAGCACTCCACCACTGAGCTACAGCCCCAACTCCGGTAATTTAAATCTTGAAGACAATTCACTTTCATTATTTAGGTCATAGATATCTGGAAATGTAAATAGCCTAAGAGATGTTTGTATTCTCTTTTCCTTATTCTAAGATTCATAGACCTTAATAATGCTTGGTAAGAAATGTCTATATATTTTAACTGAATTTTAAAATTTAATCATTTATGTTGGATTATGAACTTTTTATATAAAAACCTGGTCCTATGTTATATGTTATCTACAACTTTCATGTCTAAAGAGAGCATTTGTTGTAGATTAAGGAATAATTTTTATTCTTAAAATATCTTTAATGGATATTTATTTGTAACAGTTCAGCTCAGTATTGAAATTAAGTGGCTGATGTAAGTCATATTACAAATTCAGTGAACAGTGTGATTTTCTCATAATAATGCATTATGAGAAGTTTGAATAAGAAATTCTAGAATTATGAAACAATACTGTGCGTTTTTTAGTATTGTCTATATGTTGTGGGAACATATAGAGGAAGTCAAATACCGTGTCCTTGTGACATTTCTAATTATTATGAGAAAAAGTTTGAACATAGGAAACATTGAGATCAGTGGTGTCCAAAATGAAGGATTAGCAAGAATTATATTAGGGGAAGGGAAGAAAATATTAAAAATTCTATTTGTTCTTATGTTTTATAATGAAAATAATACATATTTATATTATAACAGTATAAAATATGTCTTTGTATTTTTTATGTTTTTCTATATTTGGGGTAAATGCTCAGTGATTTCTATTGTCGGAGCTGTTTAAATGCTGATGCCAAAAGGAAGCCAAAATGAATCTTGGGTTGCATAGTTGGGAAAGGATTTATGGAAGAGGTAGATTTTAAAAGTAGACCGTAAGAGTCTTTGGATAGTTGTAGAGGATGATGGGGTGAATGTAGAAAGTTTTGTATTTGGAAAAGTAACATTAACAATCACATAGGGTCTCAATATAGCTTATTTCCTTCTTTGGGTAGTAGTGTAGTTCTCAAACCGAAATCTTGGAATTTCTTCTTTCTCCTTTTAGCTTCACATCTAGTTGGTTTTTTAGTTGCTGCTATTTGTAATTTTTAATATATAATTTATAATATAATTTGAGAGATTTTAACTCTGAAATAACTTTTGAATTTTTCCCTTTCCCCTATGCCCACAAACAAAATAATGCAATATGTTAGAGTAATATGACCTAATTTAGATTTGGTGATCAGGGGTGGTCTTTGTCTGAGTCTAAAAAATAACTGAGATTTAAAATATTAGGGGAAACTTGGGTACCAGGGAGAACTTGATATGGAGAGGAATGAAATGAACTCAGGGAGGTGAATCAGGTAGGTTCAAGGAAAGGAATTTTTATTCCAACAGTGAAGGAAAATCATCAAGAGATTTTGACTTTTTTTTTTTTAAAGCTCACTGTATCTTCTGTATGTCAGATAAATTTGGTGGTGTGTGAAGAGTGTAGGTAATGAGGAAAAAAGCAGAAGCAGAGAAATGGGCTTAGAGGCTATTTGAGTAGTCTAGGCATGAGAGAATATTGTTTTAAAATGGAATATCATACTTCTGCTGTTTCTTCTGATGGGCTATTTATATTTAATCTGAGGATGGCTTGTCATTTTTAGCTCTGAAAAGTTTTCATCTATTATTTCTTCTAAATGTTAATGTTTTCTCTCAGAAGTTTTGATGGATAGTTTGGAAATTTTGGATCTAGCCTTTGTATTTTTTAATATTTTGTTTTATACCGTCTCCTTCTTTGTTCTTTTCCCTAAATTTTGGAGGACTTTTTTTTAACTTCTCCCCTACTAATTAAATCTTTTACTATGTTTATTTTGCTGTTTTAAAATCTCAGTTGCCAAATGTTAAATTCTGAGAGCACTAGATAACCTATTTCAGCATCATAGTATTCTGTTGGAACATATTACACTTAACAAAACATCTACTTTTGTTGGCTCTATTAATTCTTTCTCTTTGAGTTGTAGTTTCTCTTAGTTGAATTTGGAGACTGTCTTTCATAGTTTTACTCATATTCACAGATTGTTGATATCTGACTTTTTACTCATTGAATTACGTAAGAATTTATATTTACCCACACATAATGAGAATGATTCTTCTGATTCTGGGAACTAGAGGCAGGTACAAGGAGAGATGGGTATGGTAGCTTGTCTTTTGGTATAAGGGATGTTTATCTTGCTTAGGGATCATGAGGTATTTGGGGCACTGCTGTGTTCCTTTGACAACAATTCTTATGATTTTTGTTTTTTGAGGAAGAAGGTCTGATAACCTGGTTCAGTTGTTCTACTCAGTTTTCATTGAATTAGTGCAAGTTATTTTCCCCCAAGGATTCTTTGGCTTTCTGGTTTGTTAATGGTAGGCTGTCTTGTTTTAATAATGTTGTTTGCGTGTGTGTGTGTGTGTGTGTGTGTGTGTGTGAGAGGTCTTTTTAAAATTTTTTTAGAGTGTGTAGAGACATGCTATTGCATTGTTTTCAGTCCTTAGATTTTAAAACATTACATACTTTAACTTAAAATGAAACTTTTGCTTAAATAGGCTTTGCATGTTATAGATTTCTTTTTTTTAGATTATATATTGATATGTCATATTCTGTTGACTTTTCCTTAAAGATTGTGGGCAATTATTGGAAGTGGTTTTTAAAAATGTATAGAGTCTGATAAATTTTCAGTAATTCTATTATATTTCTAATAATCAATAACCCATAATTGTGAGGAAAGACAATATTTGAGATCCAGTATATTTTTAGGTGACAACTGGACATCACTAGGGAAGGAAGGTTATTAACAAGAAAAAAACAATAAAAGAGGAGTTAGAGAGGAAACAGGAAATATAAATAATGCAAGGTCTTGATAAAGGGAAAATAGTATCAAATACTATCAAGCTTCATAATGATGAAAACTGATAAGTTACATCATAAAATGGTTATGTTAACCTTTGAGATCATAATTTTATTCATGTCATGGAGATAGGCATTAGTTTTGCATAAATTTAAGAAAGAAATGTGTAGCTAACAAAATTTGCGGAACAAAATGAGAAATCTGACAGTGTAAAGCATACCTTCTCCCCTGCTCCCCCGCAATACTGGGGAATGAATCCCATGCCTTGCGTACACTAGGTAAGCACTCTGCAACTGAATTACACCCCCAGCCCTCTGATGGTAGCTTGGAAGGGCAGAAAGATTAATTATTATTTGTTTTATATTCAAATGGGGTTTTTAGATGGAATAGGAAAAATAAGATTCCTCTACATAGAGTTGGTACATGTTAGTAATAGAGCAGATAAAGTCTAAGAGGAGGTGGGAATGTTGAAATCCAAAGTACAAGATCAGAGTTAGCTTGAGGAAAGATAACTTCATTTAAGTTTGGAGTGAAGATTTAGGTTAGGTAGATTTAACTAGGTATTGATGAGTTGAAGATAAAGGTACATACTGACTTCATTTACAATATATTTTATGTAGGTACATTGTTCATTTTGCTTTGTGAACATTTGGCTCATTTAGCTGTGGAATTAATTTATAAAAACATTACTATTAATATTTATCCATTATTACTTTAGTTAGTTAATTTGGAATCTGTGCTTCTTCTGTGTTTTATAGTACTTGAGTTGCATTAATCTTGTTTTTTCCCTTTCAGATAGCATCATTATTATTTATCCCCACTTTCCTATTCTTTTAATCCTGTTTTTAACACACTTATATTCTTTTGCTTATTTTAGAAGAGATGACTCAGTTTAAAAATAACAAAGAAGTAGAACTTGAAGAATTGAAAAAAATCTTGGTAAATATACCACCTTTCCTATTAGTATATAACATTTACTTTTCCAAAAAATATTGAATCCACTGATTTATACTCTTACACTGTAACTATTTTATATTAACTTTTTGGCTAAAATATAAAAATAATATTTGATCTTAAAGCTTCAATTTTATCTGTACCAGTTTTTATACATCTTGTTAACCGTCTTGTTCAACATGTTTATATTATTTAAATATGTGTTGGTGGCACATTTAAATAAATAAAATATGCATATTATATAACTATAAATTTAGTACATTGGAATATTATGCTGCAAAGATCAATCTGAAAAAATAGGCATGACATATATTCAGTACCCATATTTAGTGTTTGGGTAGAATAGTATTTAGTGAATTTGTAAGGCAAGGCTTCATTATATTTTAATTGATTTCAGTGTATGGAGCATGGATGTGTTGGTAAACATTTTCTTTTTTTTTTTTCTTTTTGTGGTGCTAGGGATCAAAGTCAGGGCCTTGCAAATGCTAGGCCAGCACTCTACCACTGAGCTAAAAAACTCAATCTGGCATACTTTTTCTATAAAGGACTAGTAAAAATTTTAGACTTTGTGGGTTATGTATGATCTGTCTTAATTCTCTCCTCTTCCTTTTCTTTTTAATAACCATGTAGAAATCGTTCTTAGCTTAAGAGTCTACAAAAAGGGGCCACCAACTGGACTTGTCATGCAAGTCTATAGTTTTCTTGCCCCTGGTATAGGGGACAATATTGTTTGACTACAGATATGTAATTTTGTGTTTACTTGTTGCATTATCTGATTTTGCAACTCTTAATCCTTCTATCTCTTAGGAAACATTGTTTCCAAATGCTAAATCTTTCTCCACTGAATTGCTTTTGTACAAATTCTTATAACAATAATGTTTTTTTAGTTGTGTTTAAATTGCTAATGTATACTTCAAATGTCAAATGTTGTGTATTTACAAAACCTCTCTTGACACTCCAGGCTATGTATAAGTCTCCGTATGGCCTATTTCTATAGTACCCTGAATTTTTTTCTATTTAACACTTCTCACACATGAAATAAATTTATTTTCAATATAATTATTTAAGGTTTTGTTTATCTTTTAGGCTCCCTCTTAGTATAGTGACTGGTACATTTTATATGCTCATTAAATAAATAGTGGAGTGGGTGTTTATTTCAGTAAGGGCTGTGGGCCTATGTCCTACTTACTCTGTAATCCCAGTGCTTAGCAAGTGACGCTTGGTAAGCACTTTATACCTATTTGTTGGATGAATTCTAAAGCATTAATTTGGTATAGTAAATCTCTAAGATTCACTACTACACAGACAAGGACTAGCCTGGCATTTTGTTATATATGAACAGCAGTAGACCAATCAATACCTTGGTTCTTAGGATAAGAATGCCTTGATTGGTATCCAGCTAGCTCTTTATCTTCTAGCTGTATGACCTAGAATAATTTACCTGAACTCCTGATTGTTCTATTTTCCCCATCTATGAAATGGGACAAATAACTGTACATATTTAATAAGGGAGTTATGAAGGATAAATAAGGTTATTTATTAATCAAGGAAGCATTTGTTGTGTTACAATTTTTCTGTACTCTAGGTATACAGTGGAGAGTAAATGGATTTCATATCCTGCCTTCATGGAACTACAATTATCCAATAATCACTCATAAATACAATCAGCCATTCAGATGTAATATCACAATGGTGATATTAAAGGCAAAGGATTGGTTCACAGTGCAATGAGGCCCATAATGAAGGAATTTGAAGTAGTTAGAGAAGTCAGGAGAGGCTTTTTAAAAGAAAGTATATACCAAAAGGACTGAAAATCGGTATACTAGAATGTTGCAGCCACATCAATGTTTATAGCAGCTCAGTTCACAGTAGCTAAGCTATGGAACCAACAGAGATGCTCTTCAACAAATGACTGGATAAAGAAAATATGGTGTATATACACAATGGAATATTAGTCAGCCATAAAAAAGAATGCCTTTATGACTTTTTGCTGGTAAATGGATGAAACTGGAGACTATCATGCTAAGTGAAATAAACCAATTCCCCTAAACCAAAGGTTGAATGTTCTCTCTGATATGTGGATGCTCATACACAACAAGTTGGGGGAGGAAAGAATAGTTCATTGGATTAGACAAAGGGGAATGAGGGTAGGGAGGAAGGATGGGAATAGGAGACAGCAGGATGAATTGGACTTAACATTCCTATGTTTATATATGAATATACCACTAGTGTAACTCCACATCATGTACAACCTCAAGAATGGGAAGTTATACTCCATGTATGTATAATATGTCAAAATACACTCTACTGTCAATATCTAAAAGGAACAAATAAAGATTAAATTGAAATCCAGAGAAAGAAAGAAATACTAAATCAAGCAGAGGAAACAAGTGCCAAAAGGTTCTTTTTTGGGAGGGAGTATTTTGAGTTTAAGATGAAGTGAAAGGAAAAGTGTCATGTAGGCTGAGGCTTTGGGATTATGAAGTAGAAGCATGTCAGTTTTTGACCTTGTAAATCTTTATCAAGGGAATTTTGTATTCCAAGAGGAATGGAAGTTCTAAAGAATATTAGCAGGGGGTGACTTGGTCAGATTGATATTTTGAAAAGATCATATGGCTTACAGTATGGAGAATAGTATATTAAAGCAGAATAGTTAAAAGTAGGCAGGCAATCACAGTAGCCAGAGGAGAGTTGATGGTATCTCAGGAAGGAAGTTCATGGGAAAAATGATAAAAAGTGTATGGTTTTGAGAGATGTTGAAATTTTAAATTGTTTACATTGATTTAGTGTTACTGGCAGTCAATCCAGATAGCCTGCCTGCATTCCAGGTACCCAGATTCAGCAGCCACTCACATAAGAAATAAGTATGTGGTGAAAAAAAGAAAAATGAATTTTATGCAGTTTGATTAAACTGGTGAGAGAAGCAGCTAGATTACTTCTCCACCAGTCCTTCAGAAATGGTTATATTTTATAGAAACAAGCCAGATGGGGGAGATATCTGTATATCTATCTATCTATCTATCTATCTATCTATCTATCTATCTATCTATCTATATAAATTTAGCTAGGCTATTCTTAGCCAGAGAATATATCAGTCTTAATTTTTTTGATTATTCCTGTCCTTATCACGACGAGGTATGGAATGAAGAAAAGCAGTTATCAGGAAATTGCTTTTATTTCAAAGGTGGTCTCACTCAAATCTTTTCTGTTTGTTTTATCCTTCATTCTTGAGGGAATTGGGCTCTCTGTCCATGGCTGGCAATTTATTGGTTGGATCTGTGTGTAAGATCCCATCAAGGAACTTGAACGAAAGGAACCAGATGCTTATTTCTTAGGAGACAACAACTGAAATACTGGCTCCACCTCGAGGAAAGACTAGTGTTAGTTTGTGCAAGAACTCTTTCCATAACCTTGTGGTTATTTATTTTTGGTGGGGTTTGAAAAACGACTTCATGTGATTTTCCTTCTTGTCTTGGAAAGATTTTCTCTGAATACATTATGATTATTTGCCATGCAGGTTGGTTCCATGCTGCAGGAGCTTTGTCCTGATTTGGCCTTTGATCTGGTTGGTCCCATGTTGGGGAGAAGCAACAGTTTATGAGTCAGTGTCAGCAGACTTGTTCTTAGCCAATTATTAGGAACAGAAGGTTTTTTAGAAAGATTAACTCAGACCAGAAAAATATAAAACATTGAGTAAAGCAATCCAGTCTGTATAATAGATTGTAACTAATAAAAATAATCTCTTTAGTTCTATCATCTTTATCCAAAGAAAACCAACTTGTTAGTAAAAGTAGTCACATCAGATCTGCACTAAATAGTGCCTGTCAGCTAAAGTCCTTCCTGCGCAATCAGGGTTAATCTTCATTTCCATCTGGGTAGAAAGTTTAGTGCCATATTCCATAACATCTTTAGAATTTAGGTATGTTCTGTTGTACCGTGAAAACCTTGAACCCATTCTATAAGAATTAATGTCATTATACTAATTAAGAAAAAATATTTAAATGTTTTATTAACTAAATCACAGTGCAAACAGTACAATGGAGATAGCCCCTTTAAAATAGTCTTACTATCCTACACCAAAATCTTCAACCTTAAGTTTGTCTTGAGAGGCGGAATTGTGACCACCAACAGAAAGGCCCAGTGGCCCCCGGAGGGGCAGAGCTGCCCCACGCGCCTGCAAGGTAGGCGGACCTGTGACCCACCAGCAGAACAAGCCCAGCGGCCTGCTGAGAGGCAGAGCCGCCCCCTCCCCCCACGCATGCAAGGTAGGCGAAACTGTGACCACCAACAAAACAGGCCCAGTGGCCCATGGAGGAGCAGAGCTGCCAACCACGCCTGCAAGGTAGGCTGACCTGCGACCCACCAGCAGAACAGGCCCAGCGGCCTGCGAAAGGGCAGAGCCACC